AAGAAGTGGAGAAATTCTGTTGAAAGTACAGTCCGCAGTCCTAACCTTTTTGTCCATACTACATTTTGTTTGTAAGTATTAAAGAAAAAAAAAACATTTTTTATTATGATTTGAATTTAATCAAAAGTTGTTGTGCAGACAGTCTTGTTTTGTGGAAAGAAATTGATATTGAAACAAATGGAAAAAAGTGCAGATTTAAAACTGTTAATAAAGAATACAGTGAAATGTAAATGTAACTATGTATGTATGTAACTAGTTATGTGCATCTAAATAATTATGTAAAGTAAATTGAATTAATAACAAGACTCTAGACTTGTAATGGCTAATTAGCAAGAGAACAATGCAGTCACCAGCCCCGCTGCTGGAAATTTGGATTATCCGATACAATTCTGCTGTTAACCATCACAGAAAACAAACAATTCTGTCAGGAACACATCTTTCTAAGTTCCTAGCGCTCTGCCTCCCCTGAGTACTGACACCTGTAGCTCATTATGTCACTCATTAACCTTGGTAGAAAAGCTTCCTATTTGTAGCTAGTCCTTGTGAAGGTCTTGTTTCCAGGTTACCCATGTTTCTGCACCATTCTGTTCTAGAGTGTTCATGTTATTATCTTTTTTCTGTTTTGTGTATCTTGTTGGATTACGGCTTCATGCACAAAAGTGATGCATTGAATATACTTGATTCAAATGTGTACATTGTTTATGCTTGAAAATACTCGTTGACTGCTTTATTAGGAACACCTGTGCATCTGCTCAGTCAATTATATTGTAAATGGTCCAGTCAGCAATCAGGTAGCAGCAGCGCAATGCATGAAATCATGCAGACACAGGTCAAGAGCTTCAATTAATGGTCACATCAAAGATGAGAATAGGGAAAAAAATGTGATCTAATGGCATTTTACCACCAGACAGTACAGTACAGCATGGTGCGGTTACAAATCTGAACCCAGAACTATCCATACCATGGTCAAGTACCTGTGTCTGTTTCCCATTGCATAACAGAACCAAGGAAGTGGAGGGAGTTCCCTTGAACTTGTGTGGACACATAGTGTTAACAGTAAACACAAAAAACAGTACAAACAATGAAGGAGTTTTGAGTTCTGATTTTTCTTTTACTCAGCATTTGTTTTTGTTTTGTTCTTTGTTTGGTTTTTGAGAGAGGTTTTTTTTTTTAATTGGTGGTCATTTAACTCCACTGACACCTTGTATGACCAATTGCATGACCAATCAGAGGTTTGCACCATTATCAGCCACCCAGATATTCAGGCTTGGTACCCCATCAAGAAGGGTAACCAGATTCAGCATAGGTACTTAACTGTACCACACTACCTGTTGGAAAAAGTTACTTTGACCATGGCAGGATTGTTGGTTCCAGATGGGGTGATTTGAGTTTCAGAAACTGCTGATCTCTTGGGATTTCCAGAGCCTCTAGAGAGAACAAAAACATCCAGTAACAGCAGTTCTGTGGGTGGAATTGCCTTGTTGGTGAGAGATGTCAGAGTAGTATGCAATTGATAGGTAGACTACAGTAACTCGAATAACACTCTTTACAACAGTAGTGATATAAGAATCAAACTTTAAGGTGGATAAACCACAACAGCAGATAATCACATTGGAAATCTAAGGCTAAAGAGGCACAGACTCTCCAAAATTAGACAGATGAAAACTGAAAAATGTTGCCTGGTCTGATTAACTGATTTCTCTAGTGATATGTAGATGGTAGGGTCAGTTTTGTGGCATATACACCATGAATCCATGGGCCCAAACTGTGGTGTAATGGTGTGGGGAATGATTACTTGGTGCACATTGGGCCTCTGAATACCAATCAAGCTAGTATTGTTGCTGATCCTGTGCATCACTTAATGGCCACAATTTGCCAGTTTTCCAGTAGCAGCTTCCAGCGTAAAAAAGGTCATCTCAAGCAGGTTTCATGAAAATGACAATACGTTCAGTGTATTTTAATGGCCTCCTGAAAAAGGGTGGCTTAAAGGTTGCTTTATATTCTCTTTATTCAAATGTTTACCTTGGTTCCACATGAATGAAATATGTCAACATAATTACTATATGTAAGTACAACCCCATTTCCAAAAAAGGTCGGACGCTGTGCAAAATGTAAATAAAAACAAAATCCAATGATGTGCAAATAATTTAAACCCTATATTTTATTGAAAATAGCACAAAGACAATATAACAAATGTTGAAACTGAGAAATTTTATTGTTTTTAAAAAAAATATATGCCCATTTTGAATTTGATGCCAACAGCATGTTCCAAAAAAGTTGGGACGGGGGCAGAGTGAGGAGACACTGCTGTAGTTTTGAAAGTGAAATGTTTTCCCATTTTTGCTTAACCTAGGATTTCAGCTAATCAACAGTTCTGGGTCTCTTTTGTTATATTTTTCATTTTATAATGTGCCAAATGTTTTCAGTGGTGACAGGTTTGGACTTCAGGTAGGCTAGTTTAGCACCTGGACTTTTTTTCATACGGAGCAATGCTGTTGTAATACATGCAGAATGTGGTTTGACATTGTCTTGTTGAAATATGCAAGGCCTTCCCTGAAAAAGACGTCGTCTGGATGGCAGCAGAGAAGGCCCAGAGAAGGTGGCAGCATTCCTGGTTCCTGTTTATATATGGTTTCTTCTTTGCGTTTAAGGGTTTTAATTAGCATTTGTGGATGCAGTGATGAACTGTTTTCACAGACATTGGTTTTCAGAAGTTTTTCTGAGGCCATACAATGCTTTCCACTACAGAATCATGTCTGTTTTTAATGCAGTGCTGCCTGAGAACCCAAAGCTCACGGCCAGCAAATACTGGTTTTTGGCCCTTACAGAGTGGTGAACCTCTCCTCATCTTTACTTCTGAAAGACTCAGCCTCTCTGGGATACTTTTTTATACCTAATCATGTTACTGACCTATTGCCAGTAAACCACCTGGTGTTTTTAAGCATTACACAACTTTACCAGCCTTTTGTTGCCCCCGTCCCAGCTTTTTTGGAACGTGTCGCTGGCATCAAATTCAAAATGGGCATATATTTTTCAAAAAACAATAAAATTTCGCAATTTCAACATTTGATATGTTGTCTTTGAAGCAGTTTTAATGAAATACAGGGTTTAAATGATTTGCAAATCATTGCATTTTGTTTTTATTTAAATTTTTCAGTGTCATAACTTTGTTTGTGCTTAATTAAATTCCTTAATTTAATTAACATATTTAAGTAGCATATTTCAATTGTGTGGAACCAGTGAACACATTTAAATCATGTATATACAACCACTTTTTCAGTGCAGTCACCAGATCTAAAACTAACAGAGCACTTTAAGATGTGGTAGAACATGGACCAGAACCGCTAAGGAATGTTTCCAGCACCTTGTTGAATCCATACCACAAAGAATTCAAGCTGTTCTGAGAGCAAAGGGTATCCTACCTGGAAATAAAATGGTATTCCCATGAAGTGGCCAATGAGTGTATATTAACATCAACACAATTACTGATAAAAGTAAGTAAACTGGAAAACAGAATTTTGAGGATGTAACATGTTTTATTAATGTAGAAATTATGTACACATTTGAATAAAGTAAATTCAAACCCTGATTTTTTTTCAATGAGCGTCCTTCATCCATAATAAATTCCCTTTGATTACATTTACAATTCCCACCTCCATTAAAAGCACATTATGTGGCAAGTTTCAAATCAGTCCCCAGTCTAAATGGATTGCACACACTTACAAACCTATGTGCTGTTTCAATGTGAAGATACAGTGTTTGTGTCTTTTCAGTATCAAATTATAAATATGTATTGTGATAAATTACAAAGAGAGCAATGATTAGAGACATTGCCTGGCGAAAATGAAGAAGGCTACTGTGTATTCAGTCACCGACGTATGTGACTTGATGAAACTGAAACAAGAGGTTAAAAATGTAAAAAGATTACATATAGTTTACTCTCACATTCATATATCTTTGTACTAATTGGTAATTAGTAAAAAAATAAATGTTTCTCTTGTTTGAACCAAAATTTTAAAATTTATTTCTTCCAGTTGAACCACTGATTGCGTTTATCAGCGTAATCTCTGCAGATCACTTTGTGAGCTCCTGCCAATATTCTGTACTGTGGAAAAATGACCATATAATGGAAATATAGACAAATCTAAAGTTCTTATATTCGGTAAGCAAGAACAAACTTGATAAATATCAAAAGGTGCTGTTTGGTGCTTTGCGCCATTTCACAGGGCACAACACCTCTGCAAAAGCTTGAAAAACTGCTCCCCATTTGGTGCTCTCTGGTCTACCAGTCCGCCCTCTGTCCCTTTTTGCCCTCCTTTCTCCCTCTATCTCTCTCCCTCCCTCCCTCCCTCTTTCCTTTTGTTGTGTATGTCGTTTGTGATGTGCACAGGCAGACTCCTGATGGGATCGAGATGGCCCTCCTCTCAGCCTGCAGGGGTAAATCTGCAGATCATTAAAAAGTGTCTGGCCCACCACAGCCTCTTAATAAGTCATGGCTGACATAAACACCAGTGGCAGGTTTATGAGGCTGCTTGCGGAGATCAGCAACTTCTCATCTCTCCATGTCAGTGCCTGCGCTGCTTTCTCTCACAGCTCTATCTGAGGTGTCATCAACACCCACCATGAACCCAATAAGTCTCTTGGACGCTCTGACCAACTGGCCAACTGGAATTCGATGGAAATGAACCGATGGCATCTGAAAAGCTTGCTGCTGCTGAGTCCTCTGAAGCTCACTGTTTGACATTTGTGACATGGACTCGCCTGTAGAACAGCATCCTTTTCATGTCGGCTACTGATGGCCCCTTTGAGTTGACACCATTCACAGCTCTTTTTAAAAGCTTGTTATGTAGTTGATGTGCTTCTGACATGTTCTTTGATTAAAAGTGTGGTCCCGGAGATTCTCTTCTTTCAGCGTGGGTTATACATGAGTGTGTGTTAGATGAAAATATTTGCATTCAGGTAGTGAGACGGGTGGTGAAAAGCCTGTTTTCTCTCTACAGGGAAAGCATTTGCTCCAGAGTTTTACTACGACACCTACAGCCCTCTATGGCAGAACCGGCCACGGGTTTATGGGTACAAGCTGCAGTGGACCCAGATGAACCCTGACGCAGTAGACCGAATCATGGCATATCGCCTTGGCATACGACAGGTAAACAACATCAGCATCTCACATATTTTAAACCATTTCATATTCTTCATGTAAAATTTAGGAGCCAGCTGAAGATGTGGCTGATAAAACTGGCCAACGTTTATTGACATCAGCGGAAATTCCAGCATTATAAATAACATCTCCTTAATCTTTAAAGATGCCATAGAATGGAAAACTGTATTTACACTAGCATCGTAGAATGAGGAGAGTTTGGTACATAAAACTGACATACCATGAACCATCAAACACTCCTTCAAATACAAATCCTGCATTTGCAAATTTGTAAAATTAGCCAGTTCCTAAATCCTAGACTGTTATGTCTTGACTTAATATTTACGCCCCCAAATTTACTATGATAACGAAGCAATACTAAGAAAATGGTGTACGTGCAGAAATGTACCATTACCAGCTATGAAGGGGATGACAGCACTTTTTATACCCTTTCCAAGGGCCCAACCAAGGTCCTATTCGCCAGCTTCATATTCGAAAGTTTTTTCCCACCCTAAATGCTACAGCTTAAATGGTATCAGAATGTAACCAAATGAGAACAGAAAATTTGCAAAACAAGCAGGCAAATAAGAAGCCAACTTCAGCACCCATGCCTTTTACAAAATCCAGGAAAACTCAAAATTCAAAGTTGTTAGTTTGCTCTTCACATTTCACTCCAGGCAGTCTTTCAAACTTTGGACAATACTGAGCAGGCTTTCCTCAGTGTTTGACACTGAAGAGACTGAAGAGAGGAGCACTTCCAACTTTATTAGCATCACAACCCACAATCCCAACAGCAACCTGTAAGTAGCTAGCCATACTGTGCAAATCGGAGCAGAGCTCATCAAATTATTCATGAGCCCACCAAAAAAGGGAAAACAGCCTGTTTCATTTTAGGGCCAAATCATAGGGTTGTAAATGGGCATGTAAAGTCACATCTGGGCAATTTTTACTCCAACCAAAATAACATACTTTCTATGTAGACATCAGAGAACAATTTAAAACGCAGAATAAATGCATTCTATGGCACCTTTAAGCTCCTTTATATTTACACAGTGTAGGGCTTATTCTTTGGTAACTACATGGAAAATACGAGTTTTAAGAGTGTAATATATTATTTGGTGTGTTATGCAGTATTCTGCAGTGCAGCATTATATCCCTCAGCTTTATCGGTTTGACAGAATCCACAATTCTATATCCTTTTTTTAAATTTTTGTTCATCAGTGTTCTTTGACTACAATTCCAACATGCATTACTCTATTGTATCATACAACCCATTGGGAATCCCTGTAATCTCAACCAACCCTGATTGCTGGACTATCCACTTATCTGTAGGCTAGCAAAAACAGCAAAGCTAACATTAATGTGACTCCTACTTTGGTTGTCAGACAAAATCATGAAGAAAAGATTACAAACGTTGTTTAACCTTTCAGACAGAGAAAAGGAGAAAAACTGAGGCAAGATATCTATATAGCCTGGTAGCTACCTCGCTAATTTTAGATTTTAGCTTGTTGTCCTCCACAAGTCATTTCTGTCATTATTTGAGTATTCTCTCCATTCTCTCCATTGTAATGATGATTTAGAGAAAGTCACTTCAGTTATACAGCTGCAGTATGTTGGTCATCTGCCTTCCTTCTGCATTCACCAGCTAAAAAAACAAACAAACAGCCCTCCACCAAAAACCCACCCCAAAGCAGTATTAGTTTTTCAAAAGTTCCTCCCACCTTTAAGATACATCATCAGAAGGGCAGTTTCCTAGTCTTCAAAACTCACTCTAGATCCTGCCATGACTGTAGGATGTGAGTAAACATGTTTATAACAGCTATATCAATGGTTACCTTTTTTCAATCTTTTTTACATAATAGCAGTTCTTCCAATCATGTCAGTCAGATGTTTTTAATAATCAAAAATACTATTATTATTATTATTATTATTATTATTATTACCTGAATAATAGCTCTGTAAAATTGTTATTGGTGACAAAAATTTCAAATCTGTCAGTCAATAGATGCCTATAGATACCATCCTTTTTTTTGCATGTCAACTGAAGGGTTTTTTTGAGCAGTGTGGGTTCCTTTTTCTGACATCTTGCACTGATTGACAGGTAAAATAAATGAATGACTATTTTCTCCCTGTTTTGTTTACTTGTCTGTTTCGCTTTTGCCTTTTCTGAAAACATGCCAGGCTTCCTTTGACCTTGCACCAGCACGTTAAGAGTCTCAGTAGAGATTGAGCTACAGAAACACTGAAGATCTATCAGGAGCAGCAGTTGTACGAGAAATGCATCCTCAACCAATGTTTCTCTTCCTTTCTCGCGTAATGACTCGACCCACTGCAGCATGGCAGGCACTCTGAGTGTAGCTGTAACTAATACTACTCGTTCCTTCCTTCGCTTCCTCTCTCCCTTCTTCTCTCTCTCTCTCTGTATTTTTCTCTTTAGGTACAGTCTACCAATGATAAGCTCATGACAGTGATTGATGGCTGGGGTTAGAGTACTGAGTGGCAGCCACTTCATCTCTCTCTTGCCACTTCTTGGCTGAGACTTGGGGGGAAAGAAAACATTTTTTTATTGAGGGAAAAAATGTCAGTATATGTGCAGAAACTATGGGAAATAAGCTATGCTTTTAAATTTGAGTCTTTGTTGTAGAACTGTCTAACTATTATACACAATATGTCCGAAATAATCCAGACACCTCTTTTAATTAGTACATTCAGCTACTTTAAAATGCACTCATTGCTGACACAAACATTCACCTGCACACACACACAGCTTGTATTATCCTGATAGGAAAGTGTTTCCAGTAGAATAGGGTGCTCTGGATTTTTATGCAATGCTACATTTCTATGAAATGTATGAATGATTAAATTCTGTGTGCAATATTTTAAGCTAAAGGCCTAACATGGGTTCAAAATGCCTTTACTAACTAAAAATAAATTTTTTTGGACTAAACTAACTCTGGTTCTTTAAAATATTTTCTTGCATAAAGGCACTTATGTTTTGTTAGCATCTAAAAAATACAGATGTGCTCTGACCCGCCAAAGCATAGACTCTACAAGACCTCTGAAGGTGCCCTGTCGTATCTGGCAATAAGATGTTAGCAGTAGATCCTTTAGGGCCTGTAAGTTGAGACGTGGAGCCACTGCGGATCGCACTTGTTGTTCAAGCACTTCCCAAAGACCTTCAGTCAGATTGATATCTGGGGAATTTAAACTTCCTAGCTTTGCAATCTTTTTTTTAGACATCTAGCAGTGACCTAAATTCTGTTTTGACCTTTTATTTCTATTGTTTAACCTTTCACTGAAAATACAGTAATATTGCTTTTAGGCACATATGATAGGCAGCCTAACAAGTTTATTATAATTGGCATAATGGCTTTACATTTATTCATATTGCAAAATAGTGGATTCACTTGTAAAAGTGATTTTTTCCTCTAAATCTGTTTTAGACAGTCTCTTTTAGGCTACATTGTAATGCATTAATAAAGTATGATCTGCTTTTTTTCTGTTGCCCAAGTTTTTAAGTTTCAAGGTAAGTGCTTGTTTCAGTGGAAGGTGGCTAAAATGCACATGCTTGGAGAGCTTTACACAAGCTCAGAGGCATGAACTGCATATGGGCAATATCAACAATATGATTGAGTTGCCCAAAAACTCAACTTAAGCACTTATATATTGTGAGTCTGATAAGTTTTCTCACATAAGCGGCTGACTTGAAGGGCCCACATCCTACGTTTTTCTTATTTCCTCTATTTTCATATTTTATTTTTTACCCTGAGATCTTGTGTGGATTCAAGAAAAACAGCTGTGATTCATTTTTACACAATTTTCCAATTTCTCTTTATCCCTGTTACTGTGTTTTTATGATTGATATATGCAAATAAGCTCTGTTCTGATCAGCTGCCATGTGTTGTGCCTCATTCAAAAAGCCACCTGGGCTGAAACACTCCTTATAACTTCAGTGTGCATGGGCAGAGCTAAACTGCTGTAGGATGAATAGGTGTATGTAGGTAAATGTATGTACGTTTTTTTGTGACAATATATGAACTGTATGGATTGTGGATTGAACAGTCCATTGTTTGCATGCTAAATCAAATTCAGTTTTTCATGATATGGGTCCTTTAAGTCTCTAACTCTGAATATGGCCCATACAGTGTGTATACCACTTTACCACAGAATATTAGTTAATTCATTAATACATATTTATACATATTTGTATCACAGGCAAATTCTATATTTGTATACTTGTGTGTTTGTATGTTGTGACTCACAGAGGCCAGTTAATCTGGAAAGTTTCAGTGTCCTCACAAATATCAAAAATCGTGACTGCTTCTTTTTGTACTTGGAGACTCGAACTAAATTGTTGAGAAGGTAAAACCGAATAGCATAATTTATCATTTAGCCTAATGTTCTAAATGCAAGTCATAAAACTTTAAAACTTGGAGTAGGAAGCATTAATTCTAGATAAGGAAAGAGGATTAATCAGATGGAACAGCATTGTACCTCAGAGGGAAGAGAAATATGGATGCAGTTTTTATCCTTGAGCAGTAATTACTGCTGATCTAATAACATTATTTTATATGACTGTTTTGTTATTGTTATAATTTTTTTTTTGTGAAATTGTGAATGTGAGGGATATTATATTAGTATTTTTATGTCAGAAATGATTTTTGTTCATGCTCTGATAGTTTTGCTATTTTCTCTCTAAAAGGTAGTAGGAGATTTCTCATGGGTGGATGTAATCAAGAGGTAAATCTTTGTGTTCATTAGGCTGTAATATTGGAAGTATACTTTGCATGAAATATAGTTTCCTTTGCCAGTGTAGTGCAACCAAAGGAGCTCTGTAATGTGAAATGGGAAGCTGCGGTGCAGAATCATCAGTCAAGCGAAAAAGAGGCAAGGAGAAGCTGTGAGGCAAATTCTTAGGGCAGAAAGCATCCAAAGTGCAATATAGGGGCCCAAGCACTAAAGGAATTCTTGTAACATTCAAGGTGCTTAATCAGTTTATTGAGTAAATA